GAGTCTATGTTGCAAGCTAGTTCTTGCTTTACCAGACTTTAAGCCCACACAAGCACAAGCCCCGTGCGCCACTGCGCCAGGCGCACCCGGCGCCGGCGCTCGGGCACATCGCACAGGAACGACGCAGGCGTGTAGGCCTCCGCAGAGATGCTGCCCCCCCACACGTCCTCAATGTACCGCTGCACCTTCACGGATGCATGCGTGTACGAGGCAACATGGCGCTCCAGGAGCGCTTCCGCCAATTCAGGTATGGCAACCCCCTCGTCAGCAGTCAAGTCGCAGGGGGCGCCGGCCGCCGCGAGAACGCGGCTAACCTGCGCTGCCCAGGGCTGCCGGGCCAGTGGCAGCCCTGTGTCCGTGTCGGCAGCCAGCGCAACGCTATCCAGCATGGCAAGACGGGCGACCCGCTCGCCGCCCATAGCCTGCAGGTTGCTCACAAAGCGTGCAACCTGCAAGGTCCAGTAGGCGGGCAGCGGCAGCTGCCCCGTCTCTGCCAGCACAGTGAGGGCTGGGGTGCTGTCCCGCACACCCAGCAGCCCTCGCAGGTACTCCAGCTGTACCCGCTCGCATGCCGTCCTGCCCTGCAGAATCAGCTGCGGCGCCCAGATCTCTGCCCCGTACGACAACGTCGGCAGGACGTAAGACTTGAACGCACGCATGCTGAGCAGGGGGTCCTGCAACCCATTCTCGGCCAGGCGGCGACGCAGCAGGTGCATCGCGCGCCGCCCAGCCTCCGCCCGATACGATGCCGCCGAGGCAAAGGCCTGCCGGCAGTGCAGGTGCACGCCGAGGTATCTGAAGGTGGGGACGGTTTCCACCTCATTAGCTCCCGACATGATGCAAAGCTGCGAAGGGTTTTTGCTATTGCTGCCCTTTAGGACGTGGGGGTCGGCGCCGTGGCACAGCCCGGGGCGGCAATGGCCGCGGTGGACGTGGGCGGGGTGGGCGTGGGGGCTTCGGCCGTGGCGGCTTTGGCCGTGGCGGCGGCTTTGGCCTCGGCCATGGCGGCGGCCGTTTATTTGCCGGCTTAGGTGGCGGAGTAGCAACAGGCAGCGGGCCAGATCCCAGCAACGGAGAGTCATCCGGTAGCCAGCCAGGATCTGACCAAATAGGGTCGGGAGTATCGATCTTGATCTCTCCCGAGCCCGACGGCGCTGGAGACGGTGGCGGCGGCCGCGGGGAGGGCGATGGCGGTGGAGGGCCCGGCTCCCCCTCTGACAGGGCCGCGAGCAGCAGGGCGGGGCGCAGCTGCGACATGGCGCTGCGCATGCGCACAATCTGGCCCAGCGTGAACCCTGTCATGCAGGCGTCCTCGCTGTAGTCCATAAAGTTGGTGACCGAATCCAGGCCTGCCTGCTGCGGGCAGCTGTCCTTGCCCACCGGGCAGCCCTGCGAGGGTGTCAGCTGCGCCGGCGTGTCTGCAGGGCGCAGCAGGATGAGGTCGGGAAGGTGGCAGCGAGGGTTAGAGGGATTGGGCAGGGCTCTGCTCTGACCAAGCGGCCACCAGGCAGCCGGAGGCAGCCAAAATCACACCACCGTCGCCAGTCTTCTCCCTCCCTGCAGTGCCCGGCCGAGGCCGCCACAAGCCTCACCTGAGACGCTGTCACTGCCGCCCGAGGCGGTGGCGCAGCTTCCAAAGACGTGGAGCAGGGAGAAATAGTGGCCCAGCTCGTGTGTCAGGGTGCGTCCGCCGCTGTATTTGAGGTAGGGGCCGCTGGGCAGGGTGCGGTAGTCCAGAGCCACGGCCTGGAAAAAGGTGCGGAATAAAGAATGGAAGCTGCGGGTGGGCACTTGGGCGGCGGCCGGCGAGACAGCAAAACTGCAGTCTGCGGGGCGACAGCCGGCAGGGGTGCGACGGCAGCCAGGCACCCACTGCAGGGCTGTTGCAGAGCACGGGGAAGGTACAGCGCAGGCACAGGCACAGGTGCAGGCGCAGGCTGCAATGTGGGCGGGGCCCGACCAGGCCAGTGCCTGTGTCAGCTGCTGCGCACCTGAGATGCATCAAACTGGTTGTTGCCGTTGGGCAGGTCAGGCATCACACTGCAGGGAGGCAGGCATGGGCCCGGACAGGCTCAAGGACGCTGGGCTTGCCAGATAGAACCTGCGCCTGACGGCAGGATGGCGCCAACAGCTGGCGTCGCACCCATTCCTGCCTGTCTGCCTGCTGCCTGCCTACGCAAGGAGCCGCCAGCCACGGCCTCACCCCAGCACGCCACCAGAGGAGGAGAGGTCGCAGACGAGGACGTTGACGGCGGCCGCGGCCTGCGTGTTCACTGCCACCAGGATGTCCCCCATCTTGTTGTAGCAGTCCCCCGTCCAAGCCTGGCTCTCGTAGAAGCGCACGTCTGGCGGCCGGAACTGCAGCCCCGTGCCTGCGGCCAGGCAGGAACGTGGGGCGGGCCCGGCGGCTGGGTGGAGCAGAGAAATAGATGCCCCCGCTTGCCCCGCGTTGCGTCAGCAGGGCCAACTGAGTCTTTGGATAGACAGCCAGCAGCGTGCAGCCGCGCCCCACCTGAGTAGTCGGCATTCAGCACCGCCACCTGCGCCTGGATCTCCTGGGTGCTGACGGGCGGGGCGCCCTTGTCGGTCAGGCTGGAGTAGCCCCGCCAGTGGATGACTGCAGGGGAGAAGGGTTGGGTCCAGGCCAGCACAAATTATTGTTCTGAGGAGGGGCCGGCAGCGCGGGGGCGGAAGCCCCCGACCCGGGCCTGCTCTCCTGGGGGGCGGAAGGAAAGGGGGAACACAGGAGGGTTCTGTGTGGAAGAGAGCCTGCGGCAGCATCGCGCACCATGGAAGACAATCGGCAGCTTCACCCCACTGAGCGGGAAGGTGACTGTCGCTGCCGCGGCTGCTGCCTGCATCTTGCCGTCCCCGCCGCCTTTGGGCCGTGCCGCTGCCACCGCCGCTGCCACCGACGCCAGCGGGTGGTGCTACAGCAGGCGGGCAAAGAGGGAGGAGCACGCTCCTGGTTAGGAACCACAGGGCCAGCAGCTGACGGTGACAACAGCATCCAATTCTGGGCGCCTGGACCTTGCGCAGCAGCAGAGTGTGGGCTGCAGGTGCAGGTCGTGGCACTAGAGTGGCGCGAGAGTACCGGCCTCACATGGTTTGTCCCACAGGCGCGGTGGCGCGGCTGCCTGGGACCCAGCAGGCTCCGGCTGCCCTTGACGATGAGCGAGGGGTCGCTGCTCAGGTCTGTTCCCTCGTCAGATGCAGCAGCCGCGAGGGTGACCACTGCCAGCCACAGCCACGCTGCGGGCCTCTCTGCACCCCTCATGGCGCTCTTAACATGGCGATCCGGTCCTCAGAGCTGCTGCAAGTTGCTGCAGAGGCACGCGGGCACAGTGCGACTCTACTGTGAGGGCGCGGGGTCGGTGGGCAGCGCAGATCTCGGTTGATGCGTTAGAGAGCCCGGGAAACGGCGTGGGGAGGCCAGAATCGGCGGCTAGAGGGGTGAAGAGGAGCAGCTTCGGCACAGCGTCCTCGCCCCGCTTGCACCTCGCCACCTGGCCAAAGCTCGACGAATTGGGGGCATTTCACGGCTGCGCCGATGGCATATCTAGCTGGGGGGCGATGGCCGATCGTCCATTGAGTCCTTGATGCCCCTGCTCAGGTCCCTCGCCGGCGCCGCCGCCGTCTCACCGCGCTCGGCCACCGACAGAGCCCATGCACTAACGGATGCAGGAATTGCGTCAGGTTGTTCCCGACTGCATAATGGGGAAGATGTGAAGGGAGGAGGGAAGGTGTGCCAGGCATGAATGCCTCTGGCGGACATTCGCGGCGAGCTCGCGCTGCAGACCGCCGGCCGTGCCAGGGCAATGTGTTCTCATGCCCAGCCAGCGCCCGGCAGAACGGTGCTGCCATGCCCAGCGCTGCGTGTTGGACTGGATGACAGGGCAGCTGAGGTTGAAAAGGAAACCGCCATGCCCTCCGTCGAGGCGGCGATCGGGCGGCACAGAGGTGGCGCTCCACGTCGGCCCCTTATGAAATTTCGATGGTGGCGCTCAGGCAATTGCGCGTTGTTGTAACAGCACTCCCTGCATATCGGCAGGCTCACGGCCGATGGCCTAGTGGCATACTCGCCACAATCGTGGCGCCACCAACCATGTTTTCACGCAACGTGCTCACGAAGTGTTTGCGTGCCCCAAACATGTAGTAGATCGGTCAGCAGCTGCATCTACGCCGGGCAGACATTTGGCTGTGTCGCCCCACGCCGCACCGCCCGCCGCGCAGCGCAGAGCGCAGTGCGAGGGTTGCTCACAGCTGGACCGTGCCATGGCGCGCATATGGCTGGACCTCTGGCAACTCTTTGCTCAACGGCAGCCCTGTGCTGCGCCATGGCCGACCGTCGGGTGACCCCACGACGGCGTACTACGCACCGGCGGTACGGCAGCATCAGCACGCCATTTCTGGATGCGACCACGCGGCCGGGCAATCTGGGCGTCTTCCTGCATCCATTTCGGCAATCGCAACAGGCGCTGTTTTGCCAATTGGTGAGTGACAGCTGGCCCTCGGGACGACCGGGCTGCATTGGCCGGCCGAGAGCCCGTTGAGCGTGAATTTGGCAGCTTAATTTCATAAGAAGTTTGGTTCAATGCGCCGAGCCATGCCGTAGACGGGTCAACCGCGCCATTCTTGAGGCGCATGCGGCCCACCGCCGGCAGCCGCCAGTTGGCTGGCAATCGACGTGAGGCTCCCTGCGTTGCTGGACCCCTTGCAGGCCTTCTAGTCTGCCAAACTCTCCACCATGACGATCGGAGGCCAGGTGCAGTACTGTGGCCTCATGACGCTGTGCACACCCGTCTGGGTGGGTATGGCCGCCAAGCTGGCTGGGCGCATGCTGGCCAAGTAAGTGGTGGGGAGGAGCGAGCGTGTTAATGTGGCTGTGGCTTGGATCTGGCACGCAGACCCTGCCCGCTCTAAGAAGATGTATGCTTACATCGCGCCGCCTGAAGCCTTCCTGCGCCCTCACATGCCAAACGCCTGCCGGCTGCCCCGCCTGTGAGCAGCCCCGTGCGCTACTTCCGCAAGGTCGACCGCAGCAATCTTAAATTTGCCGACCCCATCCCAGACATGAAGCACATTTACGTTGAAAATGCTGGAGTCAGGTGCGGCGCTGCCGGTGGAGAATGCTGGGGCCCGGGGCGGCGCCAGCGCAATGGGCGTCCAGGGCAAGCGACCCAGAGCCTGGATGGGACTACTGTCTGTGGCAGTGGGGGCAACGCGCCCCATGGGCTGCATGCAGGCCAGCCATGCGGGCAAGCGCTTCCCACCTGCGGGGCGTGTTGCGTGCCGCCCAGCGCCCACCTGCCGCGTGCCCCACCATGCACATGTGCAGGCTGCATGCCGCCACCCACGGCCTGGGCAGCGGCAAGCCTCTCATGCTCTTCCTGCACGGCTTCCCCGAGACCTGGGCCACCTGGAGGCACCAGCTCAAGGTGCTGAGCTGCAGAGAGCTGCCGGGCGTGTGGCCACTTGCCAGGCACCCCTGCTGCGTTCCGCTGCGTGCTGCCGGCATGCTGGCATCGTGCATGCCGCTGCCGCCAGGTAGCGTCTAGCACAGCTGGCTTGCACCACTCCACTCCAGCAAGCAAGTGTCCTGTACCGCTGACCTTGCTTGTACCGCAGGAGTTTGCTGGGCAGTACGAGCTGGTGGCCATGGACCTGCGGGGCTACGGCGGCAGCGACGCGCCCAAGGCGGGTTGCTGGGCAGCCCTCAGCGGCAGATGCTGGCTTCATTGCTGTGCAGCCCGCCTGATGCCACAGCAGCGAGAGGCGGGAGCAGTGCACCGCTGTTTTCCGACGGCCTGCTGCCCCCTTGATCTCCTCCCTGCCGCCCCGCCCACGCTGGTCTTGGCGTGCAGGGGGTGAGGAGCTACACCGTGGACAAGGTGTGCTCCGACGTGGCGGCAGTCATCGCCGCCACCGGCAATTCCAAGGCCATTGTGGTGCGGCTGCTGCTGGTGCCTGCTGCTGGAGGCTGTGGCCGGCTGCTGATGGGAGCGGTTGCCTGCAGCCGCCACCTGCTGCTGCCTGCTGCTGGTGTCCCCTGCTTGTCAGCGCCATGCGCCGCCGCCGCTGCTGGCGCTGGCGCCGTTGCCTTCAGGTGGGGCAGGACTGGGGCGGCGGCATCGCCTGGCTGATGAGCATTTACTACCCGCAGGTATGCCTGGGGCCGGCTGGCTGTGGTTGGTAGCAGCAGCAGGCAGTCGAAGGGCGCGTGTGGCGCCTGGCAGCCTGGCTGGCTGGCCAGTCGCTATGCGCTGCCCGCAGCGCCGTCACCGTCACCCAGCCTGCTCACCTGCCTGCCTCCCTCCTCCGTCTCTCCTCCTGGCAGCTGGTGGCGAAGCTGGTGGTGATCACCTGCCCTCACCCCGCCGCATACAAGGACCCCGAGCGGTTTGATGGGGAGATGGTCAGCAGGTGGGCCGGGGCAGGCAGTGGCGCTGCCTGGGGCTCCGCTGCCCTGCTGCCCTGCTGCCCTGCTGCCGCATGCAGCAGAGCATGCGGCAGAGCACGTGGCTTACAGCACTGCCGCCGCCGCTCGCAGCCCACTACTGTCGCCGCGGCCTCGCATGCAGGCAGTGGTACACGCTGCTGTTCCAGTCGCGGCTGGGAGAGGCGTACCTGCGGCACGGAGGTGCGCCGGGAATCTGTAGTGGTGGGGAGGTGAAGCAGGCACACTGACCCCCTCCCTACCTGCCACTGCCGCCGTGCCCGCAGACTTCCGTGAGATCCGGCGGTGGATGACGCAGGCGCCTCACGGCGCCCTCACGCCTGGTGCCATCACAGAGAAGGTGCGCCGCCTGCCGCCTGCCTCTCTGTCCACCGCCTGCTGCTGGCGGCCGCTTGCTGCTTGCATGCTCACCCACGACCATCTTCATGCTGCGCCAGCGCCACTCCTCCTGCGGCATCCCCGTCTGCCCACCTGCACTGCCACGTGCTGGTGGCTGGGCGCCACCGCAATCCAACGGGCGCCGCTCGGGTGCCGCACCGCGCGTGCAGGAGTTGGAGCGGTACAAGGCCGCCTTCTCCCGCCCTGGCTCCCTCACCGCCGCCATCAACTACTACCGCGCCTCCTTTGCCTCCACCACCAAGTGGTGGACCGCCGAGGTGGACAAGTGAGTGAGGCACGCCGCTCGTGTGGTGAGGTGGGGACTGCAGCCACCGTGCCCTGCTCAGCCCGCGCCTCTCCCACACCTCCCTTCCTGAGCTCCCTTATGTGGCACAACACGGTGATGTGCCTGCGCGTGTGCTGGATTCAACCTGCAGGGCCTACTACACCTTCATCTCCGCCCCCACCCTGCTCCTGTACGCCGACAAGGACTCGGTGTTCCTGCCCAAGATGTACTCGGTGGGCACGGGTGGGGGCAGGGCTGTGGTGGGGATGTGTGGGTGTGGAGGTGGGCGGGCAAGCTGAGGCAGCTGGCAACTGACCGCCAGTGGCGGTGGTGGCTGGGCCGGGCTGCCAGCCGGTCAGCGCCGTCGCCAATGCTGACCTGGAGCACCACGCTGGCGCTCTCCCGCCCGCGACCGCAGAAGACTGAGGAACTGGTGGACCACCTGACCACCGTCTGCCTGGACAACTGCTCCCACTGGGCTAACCAGGACAGGTGGGGCGGCGCGCAGGCGGGTGGGCGGGCACAGCCTGCTGCCCATCTCCTGGTGCTGCTGCTGCCTCCTGGGTGCCGATGGTTGTCGGTGCTGCGGCCTGGATCGGTGGCTGCTGACTGCGCTGCCTGCCGCCTGCTGCAGGCCCGACCTGGTCAACCAGAACATCGCCGCCTTCCTGGCCGGCAAGGTGGGCGCAGGGCGCATCTGGCTGGGGGGCCGTGCCATGCAGCAGGGCAGGCTTCCTACAGCTGCATAGTTGCACCTCTGGGATTTCCAGTGTACATGCGTGGATTGGGCTGAGGGGCACGTGCCGCCTCCCTCCCCGCCTGCCTCCCTGCAGCTGGAGGCGGGCAACCACAAGGGCCGCCGCCCGAAGGGCAGCATGGTGATGGTCAAGGCGGGGGTGCCTGCCTCGGGCACCGCCACGCCCGCCGCCGCCGGCGCTGGCGGCTGGGGCAGCCTCGCCCAGGTGCCCAAGCAGGACTGACGGCGCCGACGTCAGCGGGAGGGGCCGGCGTTGACGAAGGATCGGGGAGAGCTGTCGCGGCGAGCGGCGGCGCGACGGGCCGACGGCCGATGAAGGTTGCCAGGCAGCCTGGAAAGGATGCGCTGAGATGGTGTATTGCTCAGAACAGTAGCATGTATGCACAGCCGCTGCAACGCTAGCTGTGCATGAATGCGAGTGGCGGTGCCTGGTGGCGGGTGCGGCGTGGCATGCATGATGGGTTGGGAAACGTCGCCCCCGCATTTATGCACTGCTCCGCAACTCAGAGACTAGCTCATCACAGCTCCTCCCTCTTCATCACCCGGCAAAGAGGCCAAGGCATTCCCCGCCCGCCATTGCTCGGGGCCGATGGCGGCGCCGCAGAAGCTGGACTTGTACCTGCAGGGGCTGGGGGCGTTCCAGGAAGGCGCCGCCACCCTCAAATCAGGCGACCCGCTGTGCCTGCAGCAGCTGGAGGGCGGCCGCCTGGCGTGCGTCACACAGGGCGGCACCCCTGTGGGCCTGGTGCCCGCGGACAAGCGAGGCATGCTCATGCGGGGGCCCTGGTCAGGGACGGTGCGCAGCATGAGGTGGCAGGCGGTGGCACCCGCAGCAGCAGCAGCCGGCGAGGCAGGCGGGACAGCAGAGGGCACGCCTGCGGCAGTGGCAGTGCCGCCGCAAGAAGCGCCACAAGACGGCGCTGCGCCGCCGCCCAGCACCCAACAGCAGGAACAGCAGCAGCAGGAGGCGGATCAAGCGGGTGCACAGCTTGCGGCCCTTGTGGTGCAGCAGGTGCTGGTGCGGTTCACTCCCGAGGAGCAGCGCTGGCAGCAGCGGGGGGCTGAGCCGGAGCCGCCGGCGGGGGATGGGGCCACGGCGCACCTTTCGTGGGAGCAGTTTGAGCAGCTAGGTGGGCAGGCTGGACAAGGGCTTGATGATGGCTGGCTGGTTGAGCTGCATGGCTGCCACTGCATGGCTGCTGCTGGTGTGGAGGGTGGACTACCCGCTCTGAGCCTCCGCCTCAACTGCCACGCCCCTTCTTGCATGCTCACTCTCGACATCTGTTACTCCCTTGCTGCCCATCTCGCCTGCATCCCCACGCAGCGGCCAGCGAGGAGGTGCGGTGGATGCTGCGGGACGAGAGGCTGCAGAAGGTGGTGGCGGAAATCGACGCGGCGCCCAACGCCGAGCGGGTGAGGCAGGAGCGGGATGCGGGCATGATGCTGCCGCCGCAGAGGGGCTGGGTGGGCTGCTGCTAGTGTGCCTCGCTCTTTCTGTGGCGTCGATGCGCTGGTGGAGGCCGCGCCAACCAGGCAGCTGCCGCCTGCTGTGCAGGCGCTGGTGAGGGCGCTGCAGGCGCCCAACTTCAACGAGTTTGCGGACAAGGTGAGTTGAGGGGGGCAGCAGGCGGGCTTCTGGCGCCAACTGCAGCTCACACCTTCCAGCAGCACAAGGAGGCCCTGCCTGTACACTGCATGCAGGTCCTGTCGGTGGTGGCGCCCGAGGCGCCACCTACCTGATGCACGGCAGGACGAGGCAGGGCAGCAGGCGGATGATGTGCCGCCGTGCCGCGCCCAGCGGAGGGCGCCCAACCGCCAGCGGTACAGCCGTCGTACTCCGAGTTATCCAGCCATGCATGCAATCCGCGCTGCGCCGCCGTCTGGTTCTGCGTGTAACCATCTTCTCTCCTGTGCTGCGCTCGGGGCTTCTCAACACAGCCGCCACAAAGAGTGCCACGTTCATTCCGCACGAGGGCGGCGCAGCAGCCTGTTTTCGGGCTCATAACACAAGGGAGAGGGGTTTACCCCGTGGGGAGTGGTAGCCATGGCGCAGCACCTCACCGCACCAACCAGGGGGGCTCTCCAGACGCCGCATGCGGCTCTGGGGGGGCTGCAGGGAACACTAAGGTGAGAGGCGCGGTGGGCGGGGCACACTCTGTGGGTGCAGCGGCGGTCCGGCCCGCCGCTGCCGCCTCCCAAGAGTGCGCATTGCGGCGCCTGCGTGCCCACCTCTATCCGCACTGTCGCCGCTGCAGGTTGCACCAGCAGCACAACCAGCTCTTAGTGCGGCACCAGCAGCACGCAGCGCCGCAGTGGCCGCCCCGCCGCGACGCCGCCTGCCGCATCGTCGCGCGGGCGGCGGCGCAAGAGGCGGCTCCCGCGGCGGCCGCCGACGCCGCCAAGGGCCGGTCGGGCTCCTCGGGGATCGGCAGCGGCATCAAGCTGGAGAATGTGAGGCCCAGCCCTGCCGCCCGTCACCACTTTCGCCCCTGCTCTCCTTGCCAGCCCGCTCTTTCGCCCTAGGGCGGTCGTCGTTGCCTGCCCGCCCGCCTCACCCCCCCCCCCTCCGCCTCGCTCCCTGCAGGTGGCCATCACCTTTAAGAACCAGCAGGTGCTGCGGGACATCAGCTGGGATGTGAAAAAGGGGGAGCGCGTGGGCCTGGTGGGCGTCAACGGCGCCGGCAAGACCACGCAGCTGCAGGTGCGGCGCCATCCCGAGCTGCCTGGCAGGCGCTGGCTGCCGCTGCATCCGCCGCCCCTGCTGCTGCCGCCTGCTGTGCAGGCGCTGGTGAGGGCGCTGCAGGCGCCCAACTTCAACGAGTTTGCGGACAAGGTGAGTTGAGGGGGGCAGCAGGCGGGCTTCTGGCGCCAACTGCAGCTCACACCTTCCAGCAGCACAAGGAGGCCCTGCCTGTACACTGCATGCAGGTCCTGTCGGTGGTGGCGCCCGAGGCGCCACCTACCTGATGCACGGCAGGACGAGGCAGGGCAGCAGGCGGATGATGTGCCGCCGTGCCGCGCCCAGCGGAGGGCGCCCAACCGCCAGCGGTACAGCCGTCGTACTCCGAGTTATCCAGCCATGCATGCAATCCGCGCTGCGCCGCCGTCTGGTTCTGCGTGTAACCATCTTCTCTCCTGTGCTGCGCTCGGGGCTTCTCAACACAGCCGCCACAAAGAGTGCCACGGTCATTCCGCACGGAGGCGGCGCAGCAGGCTGTTTTCGGGCTCATAACACAACGGAGAGGCGTCTACACCGTGGGGAGTGGTAGCCATGGCGCAGCACCTCACCGCACCAACCAGGGGGGCTCTCCAGACGCCGCATGCGGCTCTGGGGGGGCTGCAGGGAACACTAAGGTGAGAGGCGCGGTGGGCGGGGCACACTCTGTGGGTGCAGCGGCGGTGGCGCCAGCGCCCCGCCCGCCGCTGCCGCCTCCCAAGAGTGCGCATTGCGGCGCCTGCGTGCCCACCTCTATCCGCACTGTCGCCGCTGCAGGTTGCACCAGCAGCACAACCAGCTCTTAGTGCGGCACCAGCAGCACGCAGCGCCGCAGTGGCCGCCCCGCCGCGACGCCGCCTGCCGCATCGTCGCGCGGCGGCGGCGCAAGAGGCGGCTCCCGCGGCGGCCGCCGACGCCGCCAAGGGCCGGTCGGGCTCCTCGGGGATCGGCAGCGGCATCAAGCTGGAGAATGTGAGGCCCAGCCCTGCCGCCCGTCACCACTTTCGCCCCTGCTCTCCTTGCCAGCCCGCTCTTTCGCCCTAGGGCGGTGGTCGTTGCCTGCCCGCCCGCCCCCCCCCCCCCCCCTCCGCCTCGCTCCCTGCAGGTGGCCATCACCTTTAAGAACCAGCAGGTGCTGCGGGACATCAGCTGGGATGTGAAAAAGGGGGAGCGCGTGGGCCTGGTGGGCGTCAACGGCGCCGGCAAGACCACGCAGCTGCAGGTGCGGCGCCATCCCGAGCTGCCTGGCAGGCGCTGGCTGCCGCTGCATCCGCCGCCCCTGCTGCTGCCGCTGCTGCCTCTGCCACTTTACGTGCAATGAGTGACGGTTCCTGGCGCGCAGCAGCTGGCAGGGTCGTTTGGTTTGAGGCTTCGGTGCAGCCCCAGCACCGGATTCCAGCCCCCTGCGCCTCGCACCTCGCTCACTGCTGCCGCCCCTCCTGCCCCACCCCAGATCATCATCGGCGAGCTGACCCCCGACA